CTACTGTGGTTAATGGAGTAATGAGGCTTATGACTGTCATTTATTGGAAACAAAACACAAAGTTCTGTGGGATAAATTCAAGATAAAAATAAAGATTATTACTATACCATGCTTTGTTCCTGCTCAAGTTGTAACCCAACATAGGTACCATCTGGACAAAGCTCAATGCTTGGTCATGCTGGGATGGATGCTCGATGCTCACAGCGAGGGATATGGAACAGCCAATCAGACAAAGCAGATCATATCGCAGATCAACGCCATATCGGGACTAGTCCATACCAGCTACTCAAGTGACCGCTTTCCCAGAAAGGAAGCATAATGATCAGTCAAATGATATCACGGTGGATGCATCAACTTATCTACTCACGCGTCTCGACATGTTGTCGCGAAATTACTCCTCCCCACTAGCTTATCCTAAATGCCCCCGGTAGCTGTACGCGCATCCCCTGTCAATATTCATATAGCCCTAGCTAAATCCGTCTAGACGCCCTTTCGTGCCTCCTCCCGTCGCAGTGCAGGCCCGCAATTCGCGTCAACCCCGCGGTTCTTCCTCTCACAAACACCTGCTTCATCGAGGCCATCTCAAGAGATCGACTCCATTGATCAGGATGACTTTGCATATGCCACCCCTGCTCCGTCTGCACGTAATATAAAACGAGAGAGAGAACCCACTCCTCGCCCGAAAGAGTTTATTGAAGACTCGGACCAGCCAGACGATGACGCTGCACCTAACGAAGGCGAGCTTCAGAGCAGCTCTCCACCAGAGCCAGGGGAGCTCGACGCCGCCTTCGATGAAGTATTCGGATCTATAAGAGACCGTCAGAAGAGGCGTCGAGTCTCTGGGCATAATGACGCTGATAACACTCCCTCCGTTCAACGACGGAGACCCGCCGACAGGATCCTGTCATCCTCCCCGGATCCAGCGGCAGCGGCAGCAGACGAGTCAACTTTATCGGTTCAATTCCAAACACCCAAGCAGATACGTCCAGATCCGGGGTTCCGGAAACCAGCGCGGCCTGCAGAAACACCACATCCTGTAACACCAGCAAGCCTCAACCCCTCCTCTCTTCAACCCCGTCGTTTCGTGCTATCCGCGTCGCAACTACCCCCAAGTAGTCAGACTCAAGTCAACACCACAATACCACCATCGACTGCAACTCCGGTCCCGAGCTCACAGCGGCGAACACCAGCATTCGTCCTGCCTCGCTCTCCCTCCCCTCAGGAGGACGACGATCCCACCGGCATCCCCACGCCGTTCTCGCCTTCCTCTCGTGCACTCCGACGGCGCGGCCGTCATCGTTCTGCAGCGCACAACTATGTTCCTGGTGGCATGGCGGCGGAAGTGCGCGGCTGGATTCTGGAAATGGGCGCAAAAAGGGAACAGCAACAAACCAGTCCGAGCTATTACCACAGAACGGATCCACCTTCACTGGACACGTACGCGATAGCTATCCGGATAACTTGTGCTCGTCAATCAGCCGTGCCAAGTTGCGGTGCTCTGGCGTTCGCACAGGGTCACACCGTGGATTCTTCTGAGACCAACGAGACAGATACTCAGTCTCAAACTCAGATCAAGAACGTGCTCCTTCTCGGACCACCCCGACAACAGAAGTCCCGGCATGCAGCGACTCACATCCCTGACCTTGAACCGGGCGATATGGTCGGAGTCTTTCGGGGACTAGCGTGGGAGGTAGATCTAGGAGAGCCTGCTCCTGCTTTAGAAGTAGGCCTTGACCTCGACGGTCTCTCGCAATCGGACCGTTCATACATGCAAAGTGCAGGTAAATGGCACGTGGGAATGGAATGGGAACTAATTTCATAGGACTATTCATACAGTCAATCATGTACATTATTTGATACCCAAACACGCAACAATGCGATACTTGAACATTATGCTGAACATTCATTCCTCGAATGAAATGCAAAAGAAATAAATCTATATATGCAAGCTTTTACCCCCTCAACACCATGACCAAAACGCCATACCCACACTGCACACAAAACACATACGTACATCATCACTCCGCATCCCCTTCCTTAACTACAACCTTCAAAGCATCCACCGCAACCTTACATCCCCACTTAACAACCTTCAACTCCTTTCCAGACGGAACAATATCCGTCTTCGCAACCACCTTCCTCAAGAAGAAAATCAACCCCTTGACGATCTGCGGCGTTTCTCTCGCGCGCAGGAAAATCTCCAGAAGCGCCTTCTCATCCTGCTCATCCTCATCCTTCGACTTCGACTTCGACTTCTTCTTCTTCTGCTTCTGCGACTGCTGAATCACACTAATCAGAAGCAATTCCACAAAGGCCTTGCTCTTCGGCTGCAGGTACGCGAAATTCAGGATCTTGAGCACACCCAAATTCAACGTCCCGTCTGCGATAAGCGACCCGTACATCTTCGCCAAGTTGACGATGGATTTCATTTCGAGTTTGTTCTGGTCGTCTTCGTCGTCGAATGCGTCGTCGTCATCGCTATCGTCCATGTCGCCGGACTCGCCCATGCGTTTAAAAATGTTCCATAGCGTGTACATGAAGGATACTTTGATGCGACGGCCCATTTCGCCACAGAGGCGCTTCGCGATGAGCGTGTAGTAGGGGTTGTGGGCTTCTTCTTCCATGGCGCAGTGGGTCAGGACACGGGGGATTTCGAATTCCTGGGCGCGCTTTAGACGGAGTTTGAGGAGGCGCACGTGTGCGTCTTGGTAGTCGGTTGCGGACATGATGGCGACGAAGATGGAGCGGCGGACGTCGGTGTTCATGCGGTGCGCTTTGGCGATGTTGACGAGGTCGGGCTCGGAGTCGCTGTCTGAGACGTCGGCGTGAGTGTTGTTCGTAGGGAGGCCGTTGAGTTCCTTCCTGGCGGATTCGAGCGGATCTTCGCGCCAGCTGGCGCCGACGAGCCACCATTTGCCCTTCTTCTCGGAGTTGTGGATATCGGCGCGGGAGATGCTGATGGGTTCGGAGGCCCGGATGACTCGTGTGTTGTTGAGGGAACCGAGAATCTTGCGCATCTTGGTGATGTGTTCGGTGCTGATGCTGGCGTTCACGTTGGACTTGAGCTTGTTGTTTTTGAGGTCGGTGATGGTGTCGATCATGAACTTCGTACGGACGGAGAGGGCGGCTTCACCGGCTTTGGCGACGGCGGGTTGGATGAGAAGGACGATGTCTTTGAGAGAGGAGGGGTCATCTTGTCGGAGTTGGGGTCCGGAGTCTGGTGTGGTTAGTATGAGGTTGAGAAGGGAGGGATGGGAATTACGTACTTCGGATGATCTTGAGGAGCAGTTCGGTGTTCTCCTCGTTGATCTCTTCCAGGAAGAGCCGGATGTAGTCGAAGACAAGGGGGCTTCCGATGACATGGAAGTTGTATAGTTGCGACAGGAGAGAGATCAGGTTGATGGTCTCCTTTCCTTCGAACTTGCCCCGTTCATCGCCGCGGGCATCGAAGGTCTCGACGATCTTCTGCACGATTTCCGCGCCAAAGTCTGTACCCACAATTTTGTACACTGCAGCAATGAAACCCGCATGTAGAATGATGAAAGTATCTGACAGAGCAGATCTCTCGCAGATCAAGCCGAACAGCAGAGAGATCAAGGTCGAAGTGACGTTCTGACGAGGATGATCCCGGTAGAGCTTCTCGAACTCCGCGAGGATGGAGACCATGTTGGCCTCAGACAGCTTGTTCAGGTGACCTTGAGCCTGTCTCCGCAGGCGAACAAGAGACTCATCCTCTGAGTTGGAGGCAGCGCGTAGCGAAGGAGGGATGTACTTCTGGGGGCGGCTTTCGGCTTCCTTGACTGGAGCGACGTAGGGATTTTCCTTCTTCTTCTTAGGAGCCGGCTTCTCTTCCTCTCCTTCTTCCTCATCTTCATCGAAATCACCCATAGAATCATCGTCATCAAAGCCCTCAAGCCCATCTCCCATATCACTATCATCTTCCTCCTCAGAATCCTCCTCTTCAGGCTCCTCCAGGCCCTGCGCCTTTCTCCGCTTACTCCGTAGCCATTCATCAGCTTCTCTCTTGCGCTTGCGACCCTCATCCGCCGAATCCTCATCCAAATCGCCCAGCAGATCACCCAGACCATCCTCCTCAAAAGACTTAGGGAGCTTCTTGCCCTTCTTCAGACCAAGCTTCTTCTCCAGCGCAGCAATTTCCGCATCGTCCTCCTCGAGCTTCGATTGAACCGTCTTGGATACCGGGCGTCGCATTGTCACCTCGTCCTCATCCTCATCCTCATCAAGATCAATATCCTCCTCCTCAGAGCTCTCCTCAACCTTCGCCTTCTTCAAAATAGACTTGGGCTTCTTCTCCTCCTTAGCAGAAGCAGGAGCGGCAGCCTTCCCCTTCGCCGCTTTCGCCTTAGCAAGTTTCGCCATAACATCACCGGCATCCTCATCATCATCCCCCTCATCTAAATCAAATTCATCAAAATCCCCCATATCCTCATCCTCATCCTCGTCATCATCATACCGACCCCTCTTCTTGGGAGGCGGTCCCCGCTGGTGGTACTGCTGTCGCTGCTGCTGCTGAGGCTGTTTCTTCCCGGAGCGTTCTTCTCGACGGCGCTCTTTCCGCAATGCCGGTCCGTTGCGCTTATTCTTCTTCTCGCCGTAGGTATCTCTGATTCCGAGCTCTGCGCGCAGGTCCCTCGGTAAAGAGGTCGTATTATGTCTAGGACGTCGCATGGTGTGAATCCTATTTTCCAGATAAAAGTGTTGATGTTGATTGGGGGTGGGATCTGAACTTTTTTTAATGCCGATTCAAAATTGGTCCCGCGGAGGCGGAGGACGGAGGCGGTGAGAGCCAAACTAAACTGACTTTGGGGGTGGATGCGTTTATCTCCGCTGGCTGGCAGCTGTTACTATCGCTGAGGAATTATAGTTGGTTTGCGGTTTAATGTCAATTGAGCTGCGGAACTTAACTTCAGCACTACGGTCATATCTACACCCTACATACCAAAACCTGATACTATTTCCATCACAACATAACCGCCAAAATGCCCGCACACCTGGGCCATGAGGAGGTACTTCACCCCCACAACCACCACCAGACCACACCCATCTCGAAACTAACATGATTAGTTCTTCACCTCCCTCACCACCCTCCTAAACACCACATCTCAGAAAACCCGCGGATCCGTGTACCTCACGCAGAAGCCCCTCCTCAACACCAACACCACCACCGAGTCAGCGTCGCAACCATCCATCCTCATCCGCGCGACAGACGGCAACACCAACGCCCCGAACCCCAAGACAGCCGAGGCCAAGAAGAAGGTATCGAAGACGGGATCGGCAGCATCGAAGGTGAAGATCTCGACGGTCGTGAGCCCTGATGACTTGGAGGCGTTCTATGCGAGGTATGCGGAGGTGTGTAAGGCTGGGATGACGGGGTTGAAGAAGAGGGATCGGAAGAAGGGTAAGGCGAAGGGGAAGAAGGAGGGGGGAAAGGTTGTTAAGGGGTGATTTGCTTAGTGATTTGTGTGGGGGGATGATGAAGGGTGGTGTGATGGATGCATTATGGGCGTTTGTGGGACTATTCTATTTCAAGTTTTATTTGATATAAGGGATTATGCTTCGATGTATATGTTGTAGATATGTTGAATGGGATTAAGTTTTCAGCTGATGGTATAGTATCAATAGATTAACTACTTCGCTAGAATACAGGGGATCAAATTATGGTGCTTGTCCGGGGTGAATCAAAGACAGTCCACCCACAACCGTACAGATACCGACTAATAAAACAGAAACAATGAGATCATACAAATGCGTCATCGTGGGGAAAGAAAGGACATCAGAGGGAATCGCAAGTGTCATCAGATGCAGAATACAGGAGTATACAAAATGTGAAGAATGAATGTAGATGGCCAGACAAGTGGTTTGATGCAAATCAGTTGGAGTTCTCATCCGTAGACACCCCGGATCGGTCAGGGAGAGGCAAGTCGAAGTCATCCACAGTGTCCTGGGCATGATCAACCTCGTACTCGATCTTCCGGTTCAGTTCCCCCATCGCGGATTCCAAGGCTGGGCCGATAACAATGCGCGCGGCAATGTGGATAAGAACCACAAGTAGCTGGATTGGGGGAACCAGGACCAGTGTGGCGGTTTTATGAATAAGCGACGCCGCATCGTGTTTTTCAGGTCTTGCAACTGCCAAAGACGATGCAGGCGGCATAGGAGACACTTCGCGCTCAAGGGATGCTTTGGAGCGTCGGCGGAATTCGATGCTCATGCTGCTGAGGTTGGGGTTCGAGTCGGTCGTTCCGGTGCGGGATGCGACTGGACGTTGAATGTCAGGGACTATAGTCGGAGTCGGCTTCACTTCACGCTCGTGGAAGGCTCCAGGCATATCGTGCGATGCGGACGACAAGTCATCCCAGCAGTCGACATACACTGATAGTCTGTCTCTCGAGCGCTCCGTTTCTTGGAAGGGCTGTTCTTCAGAAGGCGAATGAGTGTCACTATGGTCGGACTGGAACTGCTCAGTACCCTCCGTCGATGTAGGCGTAGAGCAGGCGTCAAGTTCGGGTAATGTAGATAACGATGGTCCAAGGGAGTGGAAGGATTCAACGCTCGATGAAAACGTTGTTTCAGGGTCAACCTGTTGTTTGGGATTGTCTTCAAACCTTGCCAGCAAGGTCTGGAAATTCTGTTCGGGTTCTGGGTCTGGGCGCTTAGGTAAATCCACTTGTTCGGATGTCTGAGGCGCTTCCGGAGTTTCATTGTCATCCGGAATAGTCTCCAGGATAGTACTGTTACTGGCACTGTTACTGGCCTTGGTCGAAAAGCCGCTGTCATCCGTCGCCTCGCCATCCGTGTCTTCTCCGGCACTGACTGGGTCTTTTGTGAGGTCCTCCTTTGACTTGGACAGTCCATGGTAGTAGAGTGAACTGATTGGGGCACTTTCGCGACGACCTTTGGGACGCCATGCCCTCTTCCTCCGGGGCGCTTTAGCCTCCTCTGGTATCTCAACGGTGAAACCTCTCTTGAAGGGGCATGGTGTCACTTCGTAACGGAGGACCCTGGGCAGAACATTTTTCATCTCCGTGACTAAAACCTTGTTGTCGTCGGTGTCGGCGGGGAGTTCGATGCGATAGTACGTCAGAGGGCGAATGCGCAAGACAAAGGTTGACTCGCCGTCGACACACCAACATTGCGAGTTCTTGAGGATGGCATGGACGACATTGCCGCACTTGAGGAAGACAGTAAGGCCGTGGACATTCTCCAGGCGAAGGGGGCCGAGAGCGACCGTTCGTTCAGTAGGGGACCTCCAAGGAAGTGTCTCAACAGTATCAACAGGATAGTCGAAGTCGGAGGGCGCAGTACTGGAGGGGATTGGGGCGAGCGCTCTAGGGGCAAAATGGACGACTTTGGCAGAAGGGTGGTAGAAGAGATCGTTCTCCGAGGGCCTCAGCGACTCGGATTGCCGCCGGGGTCGGGTAATCAGTTTGGAAGGAAGAGTCGCAGACCGGCGAAGGGATTGGGTCTGGGGTAGTGGCGCATCCGAGGTATCAGACATTCTCGATCATGGGGATTAAGGAAGGTGAGAAAGGAGATGGATTACATTGAAAACTGTATAAGGGACAGGATTAGGTAGGATATAGATGAAAAAGATAGCAAGTGAATGCGAATAGGAAGGGATAAGGAAAGACGATCAGCAGGGGGGGGTGTGTGGAATGAGGTCAAACGAGAGACGAGAAGCTGGGGTGGTGAGATAATGGACGGGGGAATTCCCAGCGAGTGACCCTTCCCAAGTTGGTTCGAACTCAATAAATTCATGGCAAAAGTATGGAATTGCCCCAATCGGGTCTAACCCAGCGGGGACTGATCGTAGCCTGAGGCAGTCATGCGCCGGTCACCTGCCCTACGCCGCAGAGTGGGGCCGGCGGCTGATGGCCTGGCGTCTGGCGGCTGCTCAGCCAGTCGGAATTGATCGCTATCGTACCCGCGCGTCATTCCCTAAGCATTATGTGGTTGCCTGTGGCTGTTTCCCCCTCGGCAGCCAACGCACAACTATAAATAGTACGATGCTCCCTTTCTGCTAAACGGTCCCTGATCTTCAGAAGTACTCGAGAGTCTCTTGGGGTGTGCATCATGGGAAACTTCGATCATAACGCCGTGATTCGCGGTGCTCAGCTGACGGTGGTTGCCAGTAAGTCCGGCCCCTTTTGCCTGCTCGAGTTCTTGGACTCCCAGTAGCCAATGGCTGCGCGACTTCTTTCGCCTTGCGTAAAAGGGGGTGCGGCAGATGTGGGATTATAGGGGTCTGCGTGGTGCTGAATGTCAATGGCTCAGCACGGCCGAGTTCCCTAGTTCCATGATCGACAGCCATGGCTGGCTAGCTACCCGCATGGTTCATTGGGGAAACACGGCACGAGTACTACTTTACCCGCTGCTAACTTAGCTGGACAGCCGTCCGCGCATTGCGGAACCCCGATCTCTTCAAATACGACCACTTCCGGCAGGCTGCCTTTGCTGTCGCTGTCGGTGTGGGTGTCGAGCTCCTCATTCAGATTCCTGTATGTGACTATCTTCTAGCTACCCGCTTGACAGCTTCGAGACTGACAAAGCCAATCCTAGATCATTGCACTTAAGATTGGACTTTGGTTCATCTCATGGATTGTCGACCTCGAGAGTGTCACTTGGGACGATTCCCTCATTGAGGGTCTCGACTTCCTCTCCAAGTCTGTCCTTCATGTTCCCTTCCTCATCATGTCGCTGATGCGGTACATCACCCCGACATTGGATGAAATGTAAGCCAACCATTCCTTGACTTGATGTGCACGTGCTGATTGATTAGCTTCATGGAATCGTTGAAATGGGTGGACACGACCTATGTCGATAAGCACAAGGCAGAGGACCCGAGCACTCTGCGTGCCATGTACTACCCGAACCTCTCCATGTACAACGCCGGTGAGGGCAAGGTCAAGTCTACTGCGCCGAAGAAATCGGCCAAGGAAAAAATCATGGTGTTCCTTAGGAGGTCCGGCCAGAGAGCCGCTCTGCTCCTGGGCGTGTCCATCTTGTCGCTTGTGCCTGTTGTCGGACGCTTTGCCACTCCAGCAGCTTCCTTCTTCGCCTTCAAGGATGCTGTGGGCACTACCCCTGCGGCTGTCATCTTCGGAGCCGGTTTTATCTTCCCGAAGAGCTACGTTGTTTCCTTCCTGCACAGCTTCTACGCCTCTCGTACCCTGATGCGTGAGATGGTAAGTTTTCTGCCACATTTTCGATGAAACAATCCTAATGGACAACCAGCTCGACCCCTACTTTAGCCGCGTTCCCTTCACCCCCGAGCAGAGAAACCGCTGGTTTGCCGACCGCCAGGGTGTCCTGTTCGGTTTCGCCTTTGCCTTCACAATTGTGCTGAAGACTCCCTTCATCGGAGTCCTCCTGTACGGCGTTGCGCAAGCCGCCACAGCATACCTCGTCACCAAGGTCACGGATCCCCCGCCGACCCCGTCCGAGAAGGAGGGCTTCGCAGAGACCCAAGTGACCTGGAAGAACAAGCACGAGTTCCTGCGCCTGTCGCTGGACAATATCGACCAGCTGAACAAGGCTCCAGAGGAGGAAAAGCCTAAGGCGCCCGAGTTGCCGGGTCGGAAATTCGAGTAAGCGAGCAGCCAAGGGATGAGTCGTTCGGAGGAGTGGAATTCAACGTGCAAAAGTTGGTTATGGAAACCGAGACTGTACACTTAGGTTTTCTGCATAGTGCATGCATGCATTGCACGCACCTTATTTTTTAAGGTTCGGGGTTATTATCGTTATCATAGACTCAAAAGACAGCCGTGGAATCAAAGCATATCCTTTTCCCCGCTGATAAGCGCGTCAGCCCTGATAAGATAACCGGAGCAGGGGGGGATTTCCGTAATTCCTATTCGGTCTGGTGATAAACAAAGTTGGACCAGTTCGTGAGGGGAAGTTTCGGGTGCCATGAATTGAGGGGTTGGTTGCATCGCTTTAGTTTGGTTTATCTGGTAGTATTAATGAGTGGTTCCCACGTTGAGGGGAAGTTGTCACATCTTACCTCTTCCCACCTATTCATCCATCTATCAATTAGTATCACAAACATCATCAGTATCATCACGAATTCACCATGGGCCACAAGAAGATTCGCACCGCTCTCTCAGTCGATCTGAACAAGCCAGCTTGGGAGCAGCCTGGCCTCCACGTAAGTCATAAACCGTGTAGAAGCTCAGTAGTAGCACTAACATCCATCTCACCTCTATAGAACAGATGGCACCCAGACGGTACTATTCCACCCCTCTCTACCACTCACCCCTCTAATATATAATGAAATTTGGCAGTCCCCTCCTACGCCAAAATCGCCAACAACGAAGTAGTCAAAATCGAGTGTCTCGACTGGACCGGCGGGCAAATCAAGAACAACGATTCCGCCGACGACATCAAGAACGTCGATCTCACTCAGATCCACTACCTCTCGGGCCCATTTGAAATCGAGACCGCAGAGCCCGGCGATGTCCTCCTGGTCGAGATCCAAGATGTGCAGCCCTTCGAGGACCAGCCGTGGGGATTCACGGGTGTGTTTGAGAAGAGTAATGGGGGTGGGTTTTTGGATGAGATTTATCCGGAAGCGTAAGATATCCTCTTTCTCTTTCCCTTCTAAACTCGGTCTGTGTGGGAGAGTAAAGATAGCTGATGGACGTGGATATGTGCAGCGCAAAAGCCATCTGGGACTTCGAAGGCATTTTCTGCTCCTCGCGCCACATCCCGCACGTGCGATTCGCGGGCCTCATTCACCCCGGTATACTGGGGTGCGCTCCATCGGCTGAGGTTCTGGCGGAGTGGAATCGTCGTGAAGGGGAGCTCATCGCGGCGAATACTACCCTTGGACGGGACGTTGCGAAGCCTCCGGAGCCGAAGAGTGCGCATGCGGGTAGTGCGACGGACGAGGAGCTGAAGGCGAAGATAGCGAAGGAGGGGGCGAGGACTATTCCTGTATTTATCCATATCCTCCCCCTACACCCACACAAATACTAACAAAAGTACAGGGCCGTCCCGAACACGGCGGCAACTGCGACATCAAGAACCTCTCGCGAGGCTCAAAAGTCTACCTCCCCGTACACGTCCCCGGAGCGAAGTTTTCCGTGGGCGATTTACACTTCAGCCAAGGCGACGGGGAGATCTCCTTCTGCGGGGCGATTGAAATGGCAGGGATAATCACGCTCAAGTTCACTGTCCTCAAAGGGGGTATGGAGAAGATGGGCATGAAATCTCCCATTTTCCACCCTGGGCCGGTGGAGCCTCAGTTCGGTCCGGGGAGATATCTCACGTTTGAGGGATTCTCGGTGGATGAGAATGGCAAGCAGCATTATCTTGATGCGACTGTTGCGTATAGACAGACTTGTTTGCGGGTGATTGAGTATTTGAGACGGTATGGGTATAGTGATTATCAGATTTATTTGTTGTTGAGTTGTGCGCCGGTGCAGGGACATATTGCGGGGTTGGTGGATATTCCGAATGCGTGTACGACGCTAGGAGTGCCGATGGATATTTTTGATTTTGATGTTAGGCCGGAGGCGGAGGTGGTGAGGTTGGATATGGGGAGTTGCGCGTTTAGTTCGAAGTAGTGGGTGGTAGTTGGGGGGTTGGAGTTGGGGGAAAGGGGAGTATGTGCTGTTTGGGGACGCATTGGGGAGGCTTGGGTAATTGTAAGTTGTGCGTTGAGGTGCAAGCCAATTTTACTTGGTGTACTGGAGGATCAATGTCCAATGGCTTCAAGTTCAGTCTGAATAAGTGAACTGATTTGAGGAATATACTATCTCACTACGAGCTTGTACAGTGCCATTATTCAACTCTTGTCATGGAATTAGTATTGCACTGCTACATTGCGAATGGTCCTGTGTACATATAGAGATCCCTATAGCCTACTTCTTGTCTCAAAGGTCGCTTGTATGTCAGACCACCCGATTGTCGCTCTGATTCTCTGCCATCCTCCGATAAGTCGATGCAGTAGCAATCCGGGCCCTCTTTCCCCATATCAAGAGGGGAATTGGAATCGAATAGATGAAAAATGCCACGACTGCAATCAAGATATGCAAGTTCTGCATACCCATTCCATTAACCCAAGGTGTCAGAGTGAAGAGAACAATGACAGCGATCACATTCCGCATGAAGACTACCCCGACTAATGTGTCACCAACGATCTATTGAAAATCGGTGTTAGATCTCTGGTTATATCCAGGGGCAATTAGAGTGCACTCACGTCCTGATAGCAGTCCATGAGATAGGACAATGAGATACCGCTGCTGCACGAAAGAACAAATCCAAAAATACCATAGCCGACTGCTAGTACAACCCAGTGAGCGCCCTATGAGAATGTTAACAGAAACCTGGAGAGATACGGAGTAGTATAAACATACATAGGCAAGTCCAAGACCAAACATCAATATTGATGCTGGACCCAAAGCTATTATAGGGAGCGAAAGCCAAAGTCGCATCTCCGGCTCGTATATGCCGTTGTTTCTCTTCGAAAGCCAAAGAATGGACTTGTCACTCAGA